CGAAATGTTAGGGCAAAAACACAACCCCTTCTAGTGGAAAGATCAGAATTATAGATTGCAGGCCCCTGATGGGCAGATGAGGATTGGAGGGCAGGATGTTCAGACCAAATCGGTCGTTCGTGAAGTGAGGAAAGGAACGACATACAGACCGCACGAAAAATCTGAAGGCAAACGCAGCCTGCCAAAACAGCAACAAAGCACACCAATGCCGCGGCTTCCAACAAGCAACACACCTCTGCGATCAGCTTCTAATAAGCATTGCCAGCTGGCACCGTGCCTCTTCAATCTGCTTCCTGTGCTTCTCTTTGGCGTCTTCCTCCTCATCGGACGATGGGGAAGCAAGGTTCAACATTCAAGGGGATATGTGTCGGCGGCGACACCCCCTGCAGTTCATGGAAAGCCATGTCCCAAAGGACACTCGGGAGCGTGCGCTCCCAGCAAAAACGAGTCACGAGCTTCAACATGGGCCAGTGGATTCCTTGCCTTGTGGCAATCACTGCGTTCTGTCGGCCCAGTTCTCTGAACCAATCCCCCTCCCGCGACATGCCCGTCCCGCTGGAGCTCAGCCTTTGTCGGGACATACCTGGCGAAGAGCCCATCATGAATCATGGATATGCACCGGCGTTTCTTGGAACTTCTTGAAACCAAGGTGCTTGGCATGCTTGTGATGGCTACTAGCACATCATCTGAGACCCTCTGGAAAGTCAAGTTTGAGAGCTGCAAAGCCCGAGCCGATCAATCGGAAACCTCCCAACCGGAAACTGCGCGGGCAGCGCCCCTTCTTCGGCACCGGCACTGCTGGCGGAGGCGAGCGGTGGTCCACGAAGTTGCCACTGCGAAGGCAGGCACTCCGGGCATGGTTCAGAGGGGGCTGTCAAACATGGACGGCCCGTGCCGCCGTTTCTCTTCCTGTGTTTCTCGCTGAAATCCGTTGGTTGCTTCTTGGGAGAGCTTTACAAGCATGGCGCAGCACCCGAAAGGCGGGGGCCGAATGCCTGTCTCACTACCAAGGTGCAGACATTTTTACCAAGGCCTGCATCGACAAGGTCGTATTGAATCGAAATCTGCATACCCTTGGTATGTTCCTGCCGGGATACCTGCAGGAATATTTGGCCCAACCCACCCAACCCTGTCTTAAGCCCCCTGCCGCTCCTGGGGGGGGTACGCATGGAATCAGGTGCAAAATCCGGCTTCAATCGGCTCATAGAGGTTACTCTCTGAGTACGAGGGAATCGTGATCGACGATGTTGCTCCCTCACTGGAAGTAAACAGCCACGTATACCCGGCCAGCTTGCAGCACCAATGATCTGCATTAAAATGTGCGAAGATTGGCGAAGAAATACACATCTATACGCCGCAAACGCAAATACAGGGCCCTACCCATCCTTTCCACAATCAACAAGCAACCATTTGGGAGATGGCTGATCGGCAATCCCGGATGGCTGTGTGCGTCGCGTGTGCGCGTATGTAAATGTTTCTAATGATAGAGGACCCCCAACATGACATAGGTTGCCTTTTAAACTTTTGGTCTCCCTTTAGAACCAACCCCACGATTCTACCCCTTCTTTACTTGAAGTTAGAACCCTATGGCTTTCAGCAATCTGGGAAAAAGACGCAGCCCTGACAGCGGAGCTTTTGGGGAACGGGTGACCCTGCCAGCGCCTGTACTCCGAAGAGAGGGGCTTCGGAATCCTCAGAGCTCGAGCCGCTCGGTGCATCGACTCAAAGGTCATGACTAAAACAAAGTATAGCATAAACAATAAACAAAAATACAGCTACTGAAAAGAAAAAAAACAGAATCAGGGATTTAAGGAAGCTCAAACATTTAAGCTGGGGGAATCACAAGAGCGGCCGTCTCTTTCATGGCTTAAATGTCCCTTGTTAACCTTCAAATACCCTAGGTCATGGCTTGCTGAGGGACTCAATGCTTGTGATCTCTTCAAATGCTTTTGCTGCTTGAGAGTTATTGGCCTTTACAAGTCTCAGTTTACGATTCGGGTGGCAGTGATTGCAAGCCTCGGCTCATTGTATGCGTGTCGCAATCCTGCACCGAACACCATCCGCATGAATAGAAACATCGTTCTCCTCCCCAGTCCACCCGTCATCCCCTTCCTGGTCTCAGAGTCCGGTGACTTTGCCGAGATGCAACTGCGCGTCTGTCCTTGGCTCCTGGGCAAACCCTATGCCGACATGTGGACGTGTCCAACATGAATGTGGGACCAACACAAGGGATTGGTCTCCTTCAATTTCCCTGCAACCAGAAGCGGTGCCTGATCTTAGGGCATGCAAGCGTCCGCGTCAGCACAAAGCCCTGTTCAGAGAGACCTGTGCAACCTCGGTTTTGGCCGACATAATGCACTCACGAACATGCGGGTGCCTCAATCCGCGTGGGCTTGTAGATATCGGCACCTTGGAAAGTTGTGCAGTGAGAAAGCCGGGTTTCGGGCCCGATATTCTCCAGTGTCAGCCAGCAAAATTCAGCTGTGTGGCATACGAATGTGTGCATAGGCTCATGTCGAATTCTCTCTACCTTAGCAAACCCCCCAGGAGTTGCTTCGTGCTATGTAGTGGCGAAGCAAGTTGGCTCCAGGCCTCCGGACACATGCTCGAGTACGTGGACATCCAGCCGCAGTTGAGGCGTCTGAGGGACGCCTCGACCCGGGCCTTCATGGCACTGTCCGCCTGGCCGACGCTGTCAAGCAGATTTGCAAGAGTCTCCGAGCAAGGACGTGAACGGCCCACTGCCTGGCATTCAAGGTGGCACGCAACTGAGGGATGAACACTCAATGCAAACCTGGAAGCCCCCCTGTGTGCCACTCGCACTCTGCGGGTCCTAGCTACCTCTGCTATTTAAGAAAATCATGTAGCAGAGTACATTAAAGGGAACGACTGGCAACACTGGCTGGGCCACGCATGTGTGTGTGTGTGTGCTTCAACAGCTGATGCTGGAGCGAACCGCCACAGCTTTCCAGAAGCGCAGCCTTCCCATCGCGTGCATACAGAAGTTCATGGTGTCCGCAGTGGTACGCACAATACGCCTCCAGTGCCGGTAAGGACGGCAAGGATGGCAGAGATGCAGAGGCCAGCCTGGCAGTGCATAAGAAGGCAAGGCAACAGTCATCGGTTCGGACTACCGGACATGTACCCAAAAATACAACAACAAAAAAAGCAATGCCTTTGCCCAGTTTCCGGATGGCCCCGGGATTGCCTCCACAGAACACCGGGAGGCAACGATGCGCCAAGTTCAAACAACTGGGGCAGCCGCTTGGAGGCCGGCCGCGAAGCCTGCGAGACGAAAACACGCGACCCATGAGCTTGAGCCCTCTCGAAATAGACATCTACAATGTTGAGAAACTCGTAAGTGTTGATAAGGGACACACTCACTTGTCAGATGGGGGTTGATCAGTATTCCTGGCCCCCAAATTCACAATGAATTTGTAGTTTGTTCCAATTTAGTGGGAATCTCATCTTTTCAGTGGTTGTCCAACCAATGATCATCCCATGTGAAGCACCTTCTTGCCGATGGCCGAAGTCCACGGGCATCGCCCGCGCCTTCGAGCTCACGCTCACAGCTGAGGCCGCCATGGAAACCTCGGAGTGCAGTTCCGGGTGCGGTCATTCAATGGGCTTAAGCATATTCCAGCTGGTCCTGATACAGAAACCCTCCTCAAAAATGGTTGAACTTTACTGACCCACCCCTACCAGTAATCTTGGGCTAACTAATCACTCTACGAGCGCCAAGCCGATTTGGGAAAGTCAGTATGCAAACCCGTTCAATCAAGAGCTTCCAAGATAATTATGCGAGTCGAACGGGTGATGACGTAAAGGCAGCTGCTTCCAAATGTCATGCCGACAACGCAAAGTTGGATCGATGATACGCAAGTCCTTGGCAGTTGTCCCCGCCTTGCTCCTCACATCTGGCGGCACATCGCTGAGCCTCACAAGAGGCCGGAAATGCTTCAAAAGTCTCCTGCTGCCACGATTGCTACTTCGCAGCCTCAGAACACTGCCTGTTTGACAATGAATGACTTGCAAACACCACATATCACAAATGAATGTGATTGGAAGCTCTTCTTTGTGGCCTGAGTCTTTTGCTCCACACGTTCCTCCTCTTTCCGCCTGTCTGCCTGGCTGGTGCCACGGGAGCCGTGAATTCCGGCCAGGATCCCGGCACGCCCATGGCGACGCAGGGTTTGGCAGAGGCTGAGCGACCCGCTCGTTCAATTTTGGAAACCAGCAAAACAATTTGTGATAAACAGATTGTAGAGCTCCTAAGGTCCTAGGCGTCCCCACCCAGTGTAGAAAACAGACTCGCTCTGCGTGGTTTGTAGCATAAGCCCATGGCACCATGTAGCTGGACAGCCGGCTACACGCATCTGCGAGGTTTTGGGCATGTCATTTCTCTTGGCTGCGTTCCATAAGCCTGAACCAAAAAGCCGCGATTGGACCTTGTGAAACTCAAACGGCCGGCTCATGTCCTCCAGGCACTGAGACTCCTTCCTGCATAGCCTTTTCAAAGGATCCCCTCAGGCACGGTCAACCGCTGCAACCTTTCAACAGTCCTCAAAAACTGCAAACCTGAGCAAAGTTGCAAAAACTGCAGTTTCTGCAATCCCTGCGGCTTTCATAAGCTCTGAAATTGAGAAAGGTCCCCCAAAGGTTTGACCGATTCCTCTGGCAAGCTGCATATCTGGCAAGCTGTGGTGCACCTTTCAGGTGGGGGGTTAAGGGAACCCGACTCAACAACCTACCTCCCATTTCAGTGGCATTCCATGTGAACATCGGGATGCACAGCATCCCTCTGCATCCTTCAAGAGGCATGTGTATATATGCTGATATGTTTTATCATGGGAGTTGTTTTCGCGGTGTCACAAGCACCGCTACCCAAGATTCCAAATACTCAACAGACCTTTTGACTATCGGCAAATCTGCTTGTGCCCGCCTTCCCCCTTTGTTGCGCTTGGCTTTGTTGCAGCCCTCCCCCCCCCCCCCCCCGGGACCTTGGGGTGCTTCAGGCGAAGCCGGCTCATGGCTTGCAGGATGTAAAAGCCTTGATGCCTCAGATAGGGTGCTTTGCTGGAAGGTAGAAGAAGAGTCTGACAATTTGCATTGGACCGCCTTCAAGAACCAGCCTGCAACAAAACCTTGCCAGCTTTTCTTCTGGAACTGCCAAGGCATGCAAGTCGTTGGGCCTTGAGTATAGTGGTCAGCAGGTGATTGCAAAACAGCCCCTGGCCGTGGAGTGATTCAAGAAAACCTTGTCTGCACTGCGCGGCACCCAGCTGTCATCATGAACAACCAGGTGTTTGACAGCGGTGCACCATTGAGCGTCCATGAACACACAAGCTTCGGAGCTCTTGCCTGGGCCAGCTGCAGATTCTTGCAGGGGCACAGCATGTCTACCCTGCCAATCAAGCTGGCACTTGAGTCACTTGAGGCTCAGATAGGAGCGAAAGACGTTGAAAGCTTTCGTCACGCGTCTCCGAGTGAACTATGCAGATGTTTGCCTCTTCACAGCCTCACGCCAAAAGCGGATCAACGGAAGGTGGACAAACTGACAGAAAGCCGCAGCTGCAAAACATCCAATCAAATCCAACTGATGTAGATACAGCCTGCAACAAGCTTGCAAGCTTTCTTCTGGAACTGCCAAGGCATGCAAGTCGTTGGGCCTTGAGTATAGTGGTCAGCAGGTGATTGCAAAACAGCCCCTGGCCGTGGAGTGATTCAAGAAAACCTTGTCTGCACTGCGCGGCACCCAGCTGTCATCATGAACAACCAGGTGTTTGACAGCGGTGCACCATTGAGCGTCCATGAACACACAAGCTTCGGAGCTCTTGCCTGGGCCAGCTGCAGATTCTTGCAGGGGCACAGCATGTCTACCCTGCCAATCAAGCTGGCACTTGAGTCACTTGAGGCTCAGATAGGAGCGAAAGACGTTGAAAGCTTTCGTCACGCGTCTCCGAGTGAACTATGCAGATGTTTGCCTCTTCACAGCCTCACGCCAAAAGCGGATCAACGGAAGGTGGACAAACTGACAGAAAGCCGCAGCTGCAAAATATCCAATCAAATCCAACTGATGTTGATACAACCTGCAACAAAACCGCCCCTGGCCGTGGAGTGATTCAAGAAAGCCTTGTCTGCACTGCGCGGCACCCAGCTGCCATCATGAACAACCAGGTGTTTGACAGCAGTGCACCATTGAGCGTCCATGCGCACACAAGCTTCGGAGCTCTTGCCTGGGCCAGCTGCAGATTCTTGCAGGGGCACAGCATGTCTACCCTGCCATCAAGCTGGCACTTGAGTCACTTGAGGCGTTGAAAGCTTTCGTCATGCGTCTCCGAGTGAACTATGCATTTGTTTGCCTCTTCACAGCCTCACACCAAAGCGAATCAACGGAACGTGGACAAACTGGCAGCCACAGCTGCAAAATATGCAATCAAATCCAACTGATGTAGATACAGCCTGCAACAAGCTTGCAAGCTTTCTTCTGGAACTGCCAAGGTATACAAGTCGATGGGCCTTGAGTATAGTGGTCAGCAGGTGATTGCAAAACAGCCCCTGGCCGTGGAGTGATTCAAGAAAACCTTGTCTGCACTGCGCGGCACCCAGCTGTCATCATGAACAACCAGGTGTTTGACAGCGGTGCACCATTGAGCGTCCATGAACACACAAGCTTCGGAGCTCTTGCCTGGGCCAGCTGCAAATTCTTGCAGGGGCACAGCATGTCTACCCTGCCAATCAAGCTGGCACTTGAGTCACTTGAGGCTCAGATAGGAGCGAAAGATGTTGAAAGCTTTCGTCATGCTTCTCCGAGTGAACTATGCATTTGTGTGCCTCTTCACAGCCTCACACCAAAGCAAATCAACGAAACGTGGACAAACTGGCAGCCGCAGCTGCAACATATTCAATCAAATCCAACTGATGTAGATACAGCCTGCAACAAGCTTGCAAGCTTTCTTCTGGAACTGCCAAGGTATACAAGTCGATGGGCCTTGAGTATAGTGGTCAGCAGGTGATTGCAAAACAGCCCCTGGCCGTGGAGTGATTCAAGAAGACCTTGTCTGCACTGTGGCACCCAGCTGTCATCATGAACAACCAGGTGTTTGACAGCAGTGCACCATTCAGCGTCCATGAGCACGCAAGCTTCGGAGCTCTTGCCTGGGCCAGCTGCAGATTCTTGCAGGGGCACAGCATGTCTACCCTGCCAATCAAGCTGGCACTTGAGTCACTTGAGGCTCAGATAGGAGCGAAAGACGTTGAAAGCTTTCGTCACGCGTCTCCGAGTGAACTATGCATTTGGTTGCCTCTTCACAGCCTCACGCCAAAAGCGGATCAACGGAACGTGGACAAACCGGCAGCCGCAGCTGCAAAATATGCAATCAAATCCAACTGATGTAGATACAGCCTGCAACAAGCTTGCAAGCTTTCTTCTGGAACTGCCAAGGCATGCAAGTCGTTGGGCCTTGAGTATAGTGGTCAGCAGGTGATTGCAAAACAGCCCCTGGCCGTGGAGTGATTCAAGAAAACCGTGTCTGCACTGCGCGGCACCCAGCTGTCATCATGAACAACCAGGTGTTTGACAGCAGTGCATCATTCAGCCTCCATGAGCACACAAGCTTCGGAGCTCTTGCCTGGGCCAGTTGCAGATTCTTGCAGGGGCACAGCATGTCTACCCTGCCAATCAAGCTGGCACTCGAGTCACTTGAGGCTCAGATAGGAGCGAAAGACGTTGAAAGCTTTCGTCACGCGTCTCCGAGTGAACTATGCATTTGTTTGCCTCTTCACAGCCTCACGCCAAAAGCGGATCAACGGAACGTGGACAAACCGGCAGCCGCAGCTGCAAAATATGCAATCAAATCCAACTGATGTAGATACAGTCTGCAACAAGACCAAGATCCTAAGGCATGCAAGTCGTTGGGCCTTGAGTATAGTGGTCAGCAGGTGATTGCAAAACAGCCCCTGGCCTGTCAGTGAATCAAGAAAACCTTGTCTGCACTGTGGCACCAAGCTGTCATCATGAACAACCAGGTGTTTGACAGCAGTGCACCATTCAGCGTCCATGCGCACACAAGCTTCGGAGCTCTTGCCTGGGCCAGCTGCAGATTCTTGCAGAGGCACAGCATGTCTACCCTGCCAATCAAGCTGGCACTTGAGTCACTTGAGGCTCAGATAGGAGCGAAAGACGTTGAAAGCTTTCGTCACGCGTCTCCGAGTGAACTATGCATTTGTTTGCCTCTTCACAGCCTCACGCCAAAAGCGGATCAACGGAACGTGGACAAACTGCAGGCGCAGCTGCAAAATATCCAATCAAATCCAACTAATGTAGATACAGCCTGCAACAAGCTTGCAGGCTTTCTTCTGGAACTGCCAAGGTATGCAAGTCGTTGGGCCTTGAGTATAGTGGTCAGCAGGTGATTGCAAAACAGCCCCTGGCCGTGGAGTGATTCAAGAAAGCCTTGTCTGCACTGCGCGGCACCCAGCTGTCATCATGAATGACCAGGTGTTTGACAGCAGTGCACCATTGAGCGTCCATGAGCACGCAAGCTTCGGAGCTCTTGCCTTGGCCAGCTGCAGATTCTTGCAGGGGCACAGCATGTCTACCATGCCAATCAAGCTGGCACTTGAGTCACTTGAGGCTCAGATAGGAGCGAAAGACGTTAAAAGCTATCGTCATGCTTCTCCGAGTGAACTATGCATTTGTTTGCCTCTTCACAGCCTCACACCAAAGCGAATCAACGGATGGTGGACAAACTGGCAGCCGCAGCTGCAAAATATTCAATCAAATCCAACTGATGTAGATACTGATGTAGATACAGCCTGCAACAAGCTTGCAAGCTTTCTTCTGGAACTGCCAAGGTATACAAGTCGATGGGCCTTGAGTATAGTGGTCAGCAGGTGATTGCAAAACAGCCCCTGGCCGTGGAGTGATTCAAGAAAACCGTGTCTGCACTGCGCGGCACCCAGCTGTCATCATGAACAACCAGGTGTTTGACAGCGGTGCACCATTGAGCGTCCATGGGCACGCAAGCTTCAGAGCTCTTGCCTTGGCCAGCTGCAGATTCTTGCAGGGGCACAGCATGTCTACCCTGCCAATCAAGCTGGCACTTGAGTCACTTGAGGCTCAGATAGGAGCGAAAGACGTTAAAAGCTATCGTCATGCTTCTCCGAGTGAACTATGCATTTGTGTGCCTCTTCACAGCCTCACACCAAAGCAAATCAACGGATGGTGGACAAACTGGCAGCCGCAGCTGCAAAATATTCAATCAATTCCAACTGATGTAGATACAGCCTGCAACAAGCTTGCAAGCTTTATCCTGGAACTGCCAAGGTATACAAGTCGATGGGCCTTGAGTATAGTGGTCAGCAGGTGATTGCAAAACAGCCCCTGGCCTGTCAGTGAATCAAGAAGACCTTGTCTGCACTGTGGCACCCAGCTGTCATCATGAACAACCAGGTGTTTGACAGCAGTGCACCATTCAGCGTCCATGAGCACGCAAGCTTCGGAGCTCTTGCCTTGGCCAGCTCAAGATTCTTGCAGGGGCATAGCATGTCTACCCTGCCAATCAAGCTGGCAGTTGAGTCACTTGAGGCTCAGATAGGAGCGAAACACGTTGAAAGCTTTCGTCACGCGTCTCTGAGTGAACTATGCATTTGTTTGCCTCTTCACAGCCTCACGCCAAAGGGAATCAGCGGAACGTGGACAAACTGGCAGCCGCAGCTGCAAAATATGCAATCAAATCCAACTGATGTAGATACAGCCTGCAACAAGTCCTTGCCAGCTTTTCTTCTGGAATTGCCAAGGTATACAAGTCGATAGGCCTTGAGTATAGTGGTCAGCAGGTGATTGCAAAACAGCCCCTGGCCGTGGAGTGATTCAAGAAAACCGTGTCTGCACTGCGCGGCACCCAGCTGTCATCATGAACAACCAGGTGTTTGACAGCAGTGCACCATTCAGCGTCCATGAGCACGCAAGCTTCGGAGCTCTTGCCCTACCCTGCCAATCGAGCTGCCACTTGAGTCACTTGAGGCTCAGATAGGAGCGAAAGACGTTGAAAGCT